CCAATAAAAGGAAAAACCTTGAATATAGTGATATAGCGAAAAGCAATGGGAAGATAAATTAGTATAAAAAAAAGATGAAATAGTACAAAGTGTAATTAGCTTGCAGAAAGGGAAAAAAATTATTTGATTGTAGAAAATGGTAGGGCGAAGAGATAGGATGTTGCCGTATTTCATATTTGTCAACCTTACCTATGGAGGTGGAGAATCTCTTCACCCTACCAGCAACAACAAAAAGAGCATTTTCTGCTATGCAAATTGTGAAAACAAGATTTTACCGCAAAATGGAGGACCTTTCAAGCTCCTTGATTGTTCATATTGAAAAGGAAATAGTTCAGTCATTTAGTCTTGACTGTATTATAAATAGATTTCATGACATGGAGACTCGTCAAATATTCTTTTAATTTATGATATAAAAGTAAGTTTTCAAAATTACAATACATTATTTTAAAACTTGAAAAGTCAGCCTCCCCTGATTAAAATTCCTAACTCCGTCACTAATTACAAAAATGAAATTGCTGAACTGAGCTGGCTACTCAGTCAGTGGATGTTGCTTATCCACCACCTCCTTCTGCACATTATCAACAATCTCAGCATCTCCACCAACCTCCACTTCTTCTTCGTCTACTTCAACAAATTCAAAATTGAAGTTCGGTAGAAAAACAGTGCGACTTTCACTATCCCAATCCTATCTTAGCTTGACTTCAGGACGGATGTCGGCTATTTTACTATCACTATTTTCCTCCATCCTTCCTTCTTAATCTTCAAAAGTGAGGCTTGTACATCCAAGTCAAGATATTGAGCTTTCACCTTTTGGTAGTCCATGAACGCTAAAATAGTGGTATGTAGCTAGTAGAGATTGACGATGTTGTCAAAACTACTAGACATCAGAAACTCAAAGATATGATCCTCCATTGCATTGTGGACACGTAACCCCACACTTTTCTCAAACTCCAAAATAGCCTTCCTTATTTTAGCAATCTCTTTGTCTTTGTTGGACAATTTATCTTCACAAATTTTTCTTATTTCCTTCTTGAAGTTGACAGCTTTCTTTAACATGTCATTCTCTTCCTAAAGTTGCTCCAGTTCCGAGGTCATCTCCTCCATGTTTTTCTCCGCCTCATCCTTCCACCTACCACGCTACTTATTCTCCTCCTCCTTCTCCAATTTGTTCCATTCCTTAAGGCTTTCAAAGAATTCGTTCGACAATGAATGTACAAGATTGGCAACCTGCAATAATAACCATCATTAACCCCCCCCCCCCCAAAAAAAAGAAAGGAGTAATGAAATGGTGATGAGTCATACCTCAAGAACATGATGAACAACACCTGCACCACCATGAGTGGCCATTTTGTCCCTTGCTTGATGTCGATCCACTTCTGAAAAGGTAAAATTAATAAACCTCTTTGTAGCCGTCCTACTCTTGGAGTTCAAAAAGCTGCATTATTGTGTTGGAAAGGGAACAAGGTCTTTTCCCCTCCCATGGGTTCCTACTCCAACCTCTTAAAGTGTTGGGTCAATCTCAACTGAAGGTGGATGAGGAATGAACTTTGGCACCTCTTCCTTTCTCCCCTTCTACTGCTCTTCCACCCTCTTTCTCTTCTAAGTTGCAACATTGTCTTCACTCCCCTTTTACACAAGCTCAGTTCTTGATCTCTCAACTTCGGGAGCTTGGGTTACCATGTTGGATGGCTAAGGTTTAGACTTACCACCTCTAACCCCTTCTTGAACATTAGCCGCTGTAGGAGCCTTGGACTTTTTCTGTGGGATGGCCACATCTCTAAATATAGAGAAGAATCTGTTGATCTTGGCTACAAAATTACAAAAAGTTAAAATATAGATAAGAACTTAGATCCAAATAACACAAAACATAATAAACACACACTTCCACTCAATGAACTTGTTTCATAAAGCTCAGCCGCATCAATAACATCTGTGTTGGTGAGGTACATAATATCTAAAACACTATCATCCTCCTTCACCAGCTCTCCACCTTTTTTATCTCATCATTATTCAAACTGTATTTATTTTGATTCCCTTTCTTCAGCTTTCAAGTGGACAACACCTCCACCTCTACATCCATCTTTTCCCACTCGGTACCATTAGTAAAGACAAATTTCTCCTTCCACCCCTTGATGGAAAAAGGTCTCAAACTAAATAAATTCCCTTTTTGCCTATTAGACACACGAGGTGTAGAATACTACTACCCTTTCTCCCCTCTACTTCCTGCCTTTATAACAAAAAAATACTTAAACATATTAACCATGGGAAACTTAATAGCTTGAGCTTGGCAACAAACTAAGAAGGCTATCACCAACTGAATTGTCTTTGGAACGAGTTGTGTTAAACTTATGTTGTAATCTAACAACAACCTAACTAGCAGTTCCAGAATGGGAAACTTGAGCCTAGCAGCTAAATAGTGGGCATATATGGGTATCTAATGGTCTCTTAGTGTTGAGCACACCCTTTCTTCAACACTAGCTAGCCTAATCAACATGAGGTTGAATATTATACGCGTAAATTAGGTGAATTAAGCTACTCCTACTATTCCATTCAGTTTCATACCATATCACCTTAGAAATAATATTTTTTGAATCATCGCAGTATTTATCTCGATCATCTCCAACTTCTAAAATATTAGAAGGCATACCTTCTCCCTCCCTTACCTCCTCCTTAGTCTTCTTCGTTCCAAAAGACTTTATCTCTACATCTTCATCTTCATGCTCCATAACCCTAACTTCCTCACTGCCTCAAACACTCAAAGTTTCCTCTGAAGACATGTCCTCTATTTCGTAACTCCCACTACACGATGTAGGATGTGGGATATAGTCAGGATCTTTAATAAATCCTAACTCAAGTTCTATCTCACTCTCACTTCTAACTTTAACCTTTCTTAAAGGCTTTTAGTCTAAATCTGAAAGAGTAAGAGGTAAACAATAAAAATTGAAGAACTCATAAGTTACCTGATCTTGATTATGCTGAACTCAACGTTAATTCCTAAGGTCTGAACAAATAAAAGCTTAGTAGTTGTGGTAGTTTTGTTGGAATTTTGACAACACCTCAATATCAAATACAACAAAGTAACAAAAATTTACAGAAGTATGACTATATATACTGGTATGATTACAGGCCTCAATAGTCATGATTAACCCCATCTAACAATCATGATTACACCCTTTCGAATTCGATGATTATTGATGGGAATCAAGATGACCCCACATGTACCACGTCAAGAGATCCATTACATAATCCAAGAGGTCTAGTCACTAGAGCTAGAGCTATGAAGATACGAGAAGCTTTAAATGGCCTTATTGAGCAGATCTGGGTTGATAACAACATGCAACAAGTAAATCGAAACTTGGATGATTATCAAGACATGGTAAACATCATTTAGGTTCAAGAAAAGCTTAATTGAAGTCATTTATGCTAAATTACACAGTTTGCGTCAAAATTCGGCAATTCTGCCACAATTTGTAACAAACTAATATTTCATGTTACTTTAGGTTACTATCAGTGATTTTCACATTTTTTATATTATTTTGGGCTGAACATTCATTTATTTGAGGCCCAATTTGTCGTTATTAGGATTAGGGCTTAGGCTATTAGTTTCCTATTTTGATTAGAATTATTTTTCTCTATTTAAAAGGCTTGTAACCCTAATTGGGGGTAGTTATTGAATCTGAGTTTTTAGAGACTTTTCTCTTTGGTTCGTTTTATAACTTTACAAAACTTATCAAGATTATTCTTGTGGCGTTCTAACCTGACTTATCATTCTCATTCTTAATCATTTGAGGTTGTGGCGTCAACCAACTTCATACCTCTGGTTCCTATTGCGTCATAGAGAATGGGTCAAGATTTTACCTTTGGTTCTTGTTATGACATAAACAACGGATCAAGGTCCTATTATAAACCTGATTTGGCTTTCCTGGAGTTTAGAAATCCCTTGTCATGTTGGGGGTCTCATTGTTCTCTTTTGGGTTCTCATCTTGTTGGTATCAGACCATCAGATCCTAAATCAAGTTTGCGTATCGTTAATTTTCAGTTTTTATTGTCAAAAAAAAAAAAAATTCAGTGTCATTCTACTCTTTCTTATTTTGCTCTTCTGAATTTGTGTTGTTGGTTCAAAAAGAGAGAGAGAGAAAGCACGAAAATTAAAAAAAAAAAAGACAGAGGAAAAAGTCATACAAAAAAAAAAAGGGAAGAGGATCGCCAAAAAAAAAGACGCAAAAAAAAATAAAAGAAAAAAAAAAGGAGAGAAAGAAACAAGTAACACAATTCTGTGGTTGGAATTCCTTATATAGAGAAGAAATTTGTGGCCAAATCCTTTAAGAAGAAGGAATCCTACTCCAATAAGGAGTTGGTAGAAGGAATCCTACTACAATAAGGAGTTGCAAATTCTCTGTGAGTTCTATTTAAACAAGGAGATTGCAAATTTTGTTTATTCCTTCCTAAGTTAGCAATCCTACTGCATTAAGGAATAGTCAAGTCAATTTCTACTAGGAAGTGCTTGAACTGATTTGTTTGTTTTAATTTGTTTTGGTTTGGTTCTTTTATTGCTTTTCTTGTTCGTTCATTTGTGTCTTTCTGTTTCCTTTTATTCTTGTTGCAAATTTGTTGGAGGTAGATTGTTGCAAAATAACTTGAATTGAGCTTGTTTAGTTCAATAACAAACTGAGAGAGGAAAGTTGAGTGAGGAAAAAAGGCAAGAGGTAAAAAGGCAAGAGGTGTGAGCAACACTTAAGAGAAAAGCCAAGTCCTACAATGTGCAAAACATGAGCGTTGAGTGCCATTCTGTGAGAAAGTGGAGTGAAACATGTAAGGGAGTATTGTGAGGTCCTTTTATTCTTCTGTTTCCAACATTCCTTGTAGGTTTCAATCATGTCAAGCGGTGATGACAAATCAACCACTAAAAGACACCATGTGGATGAATCTCTCATGCTCAAAGCAATGCAACAACAGTTTTAGAAGCTGGAAGTCATGTTTGGTGAAATTAGAGACAAAATGGAAAAGCAAGATGCACTTATACGTGGCTTGGCTTGACACGAATGGGCCGAAGGCCCAAGTGCATCTTCCTTTTCCTTGTTTGTTGGGCAGCTGGGGGTTGTCCTCATTTTTTTTTTTCTTAAAACTTCAGCCCTAGTTTTAAAAGGAGTCAAACTTCTCATCATTCTCAATAGAGTACGCTCACTTGAAACATTGAACATAACAACATTTAAGGACTTCAAACAATCCACGGTGCAAAAATACAGCACTGACTATGCAACGTGTCCGTGTCAAAACTTTTAACTGGTCACCGCTCAATAATCATTTCCTGGTTCCATCCAGCCAAAGCTTCATGGTTTGACAATCTTGTCTTGTGGCATTTCATGCAGTGGGAATTTTAGGTTCGCCTAAATTGACAAAGGCCTTGGCACGTGCCATGCGTACTGTTGCTGCTTTCCAAGAGACAAGGTGGTTCATAAACACATTTACATACTTTCCTCTGTCATTCTGTTTAGAAGTTACCCAAGAATCACGAAAAAATATCTTACAATGGAATAAGAAGATGGGGCAGTAAGGTAACATACCTTGTAATCCAAATAATAAGCATGCTGCAAGATGACAAATAATGAAATTAATTGCGGCTTCTCTATAAGAAAGTTTAATATTGTGTGTGTGTGTGTGTGTGTGTGTGTGTGTGGATAAAGTTTACCTCCCACATATCCAAACTGAGGATTGGCTGCACCAAAGGAGGTTGGGAGGCAATTAGATTGCGTTGTTAAAACAAAAAATAAAGTTACTATAAATAGCTATTCACATACAATGTCATCCCACACAAGTGGGTTTATGGCATTTGAAGTTTTCACTACTGCAAGTTGCCTCTCTTCCCTCTTCACTGAAACAAATGATGAAATTACAATAAGTGAGCTTAAGAAAAAAATCTCCTAAAATCAGTGCTTTGAAAAATTTCCTAGTGGAAGAAATTACCCTAATGGGTATGTTTTCATCCCTCAAGCACTACACTATAAATCATAGAGCCATAAGCCAATTACTATTCATAAAAGTTATAATCCCTAATGCTGAATAATATTGAATCAGAGTATAGAGCATTGGAGAAGGAAGGCAAGCTAGAGAAAAGAGGAAGAAGAAGTACTCATTTTCTAGAAGCCAATGCAAAACAAATACCAAGACAAAACTGTAAGACAAAGTATCAAAGCATCCCTTGTCCTTAGGATGAGCACTTAGAGCTTGAACACTAAGTTAGAGGTATCTTGTGATTGGAAAAGGGGAAGGCTCTAATCTTGCAGCCCAAAATCAGATGAATAAAAAAATGGACTGAGATGCCAAAAAGCTTTGACAAAAAAAGGAAAAGTAAAAAGTAGAAACCAAAATGCAAGGCAAGATTTTAATCTTTTTTTTTTCCTTATCCACTATTGGACATTTCTTTTAGGTTTGGTTAAAACCTCAATTTGGTTCCTCTACTTTGGTAAAAAGCCTTTTTTTAGTCCCTTTACTTAAAAGCCCCCTTTTGGTCCCTAAAATTTGAAATCCGACCTCTTTTTAGTCCTTTTGTTGAGTTTTGATGTTAGATGATAGAAATTTCAGAGGAGAGGAACTAAAAAGGGGTTTTTTCCCAAAGTAGAGGGACCAAATTGGGGCTATTTTTAACCCATTTTTAGCCCCTTTTTGGTCTCTCTGCTTTGAAATTTCCATCATCTAACATCCCACGTATGCAAAACTTAACAGAGGATCTAAAAAGGGGTTGGATTTCAAACTTTAAGGATCAAAAAAGGGCTTTTTTAAGTAGGACTAAAAAGGGGTTTTTTTATCAAAGTAGAGGGACCAAAATGGGGATTTAACCTTTAGGTTTTAGCAGGAAGGGATAAGATTCCTCTTGATGGACAACTATAGATTGGAGATTGACATGGTACACCTACTCTATGTTCTTCTGTAACAATAACATGCATAATATATATTCTATCTTCACAGAAATAGATCCAAAAAACTAGATAGAACAGGAGTGAATATCCAAATACCTATAAGGATGCAAGATAGCAAAAAGGAAACTAAAAGAGACGAGTGGAAGATTGGAATTAAAAGTAGTGGTAATGTTGGTCTAATGCGCAAGGCCACAAGTTACGGCCAAAATTATTTAGATATATTGTGGAAGAGTGGGTTCTACAAAGATGTCCATTGGCTTGACCAGGTCAAAATCATGGATGATTAAAGAAACAATGAAACATAGAGCTGCCTTAGTATGGTCAAGGCAACAACATTCTTGATAGGAGGAGAAAACCATAAGATGCAAAAACTTTGCAATAAGTCAGTGAGATCCTTTCTTCCTGACATAAGTTAGGATTTTTCCTCCTCTTTTTTTTTTCTTTTCCTTTTGATTGGTAATGAAGATAGTTCTTAGCCATTGTAGAGTTTTGAACTGCTGACTTACCATAATGCACCTTGAGGGCAGGTCTAGATTAGGAGATTAGGAAAAGAGCGTCAAAAGTATTGTTGGATTACAGTGTTGCGTGTATGAGTGTGCACACATGCACATTCACATAGCAACTTGATATTTGAAACTTAACCAATTGTTAACACCACGCTAACACTACTACTGATATGGAACTTCATACAATTACCTCAAAAGCATCTAGCAGACTATTATATTTGCGGTCAAAGAAATATTAACATGACAAAGGACTTACAAACAAGCCAAACCCAGCCAGAGCCAAATAGTCCAAGTGCTGTTTCCACAAACTTTTCTCTGAAATTTGTAAAGGAGCCAAAATCCTTTTCAACCTGTGCAAGCATACCAAATTGAGGCAGGTCCCCTCCTCCAGGTTGCATGGATTCCCAAAAGAAGTCATGATTCCACACCTGTGATTCAAGATTAAGGAGGATTGCGATATAATTATAAAGCTTTCTATTTCAACAAAGCATCAATAAAGGGAAAAAAGAATAAGCAACAACTTATTAATCTCAAAAAAAAAAAATCTTGATATGCCACTTCTAAAACATGTTTCTTTGACTTTGAAGAAATAATTGAGAAAGACAATTAATTAATTGCAATAAATAACCTTATTTAAACTCCATAGATACATCTAGACTTGGGATTAGCTTGAAAGTTAAATGATTACATACACAAGAATTACATTGAACCAAAACCACTATAAGAAAATTCATTGGAAATTGAAAATCACCTGTTTCTTTGTACCTGTGCAGCATTGTTGAATTCAGGTAAGGGATTCCCATTGTTGTATGTTGCTTTCACAAGTTCATTCATAGTATATCCATATAGTATATAATTTCTTCTAAGTTGTTGATTTAGGCCTTCCAAATGGCCATGATGGTGTTCACCCCAATGCATCTCCAATGTCCTTTTACTCATGTATGGCTCTAAAGCATCCTGTGAATGCAAAAAATAGTTAATCAGGTAAGTTTAGGAAAAAAAATAAAACAGAAAGAATTTCATAATAAGAGTGAAACGTGCTGATAAATACAACAAGAATAAGAGGAATGAATGTCTGAACCATAAATTATGACCAAATGATAATGAAAGACGGCTGGAAAAGACCCTTTTTCCTCTTCAGAAAATAAAATGCTTGACTTTGAAAAACAAAAGAAAAGAATGTTACATGAACTCGGGGAAAACAAAATGGAATTTCACTCACGAGGTTATAAGGAGGTGTCTTTAAGCCATAGTAGGCAACAACTCTTGAAACCCTTGGGGACCCTCTACCTTTAGACCCTTTCTCCTGCTCCAAATGAACCCATCACAGATACATAAATTTCTCAGTTTTCTGATTACTTTCTAAGAATAACACAAAGAAAACACAAACTAAAAGTAAGAATAAAAAAGGTTCATAAGTTTTGGAGAAAAAAGAACGAACCAGATGAGGGACATCAGGGTTTTTGAGAGGGAGAGTGAAGTTTGTCAGCAGAAGATGAGACCCCATTTTCAAAGCTTTCGTCAGTTGCTTAAGTGTTCAACTCTTAAACACTGTAATAATATCAATGTAGAACTTTGACAAACAAATCAACATAACTGGAATGAGCACCAGCTTATGGAAGAG